ACGATAACGGGTGATAACCAGCTCAGTGGTTGGACCAGGAAGCTCCAAAGCACCTTCCAAAGCCAACCTTGCACCAAAAAGAGTCATGGTCACTATTTGGTGGTCTGCTGCCCATCTGGTCGACTACAGCTTTCTGAATCTCAGTGAAACCATTACATCTGAGAAATATGCCCAGAAAATCGATGAGATGCACCAAAAACTGCAATGCCTGCAGCTGGCACTGGTCAACAGAAAGGGCCCAATTCTCCATGACAATGCCCAACCACACATCGCACAACCAGCATTTCAAAAGTTGAATGAATTTGGCTAAAGTTTTGCCTCATCTGCAATATTCAGTGACCTCTTGAATATTTACCGACCTCTCACCAACTACCATTTCTTTGATCATCTCAACAACTTTTTGCCAGGAAAACGCTTCCATGACCAGCAGGAGGCAGAGAATGCTTTTGAAGAATTTATCGAATCCTGAAGCACAGATTTTTTTTTCTTTTATTTTTATTAGTTGGAGGCTAATTACTTTACAATATTGTAGTGGTTTTTGTCATACATTGACATGAATTACCCATGGATTTACATGTATTCCCCATCCCGATCCCCCCTCCCACCTCCCTCTCCACCCGATCCCTCGGGGTCTTCCCAGTGCACCAGGCCCGAGCACTTGTCTCATGCATCCAACCTAGGCTGGTGATCTGTTTCACCCTAGATAATGTACATGTTTCAATGCTGTTCTCTTGAAACATCCCACCCTCGCCTTCTCCCACAGAGTCCAAAAGTCTGTTCTATACATCTGTGTCTCTTTTTCTGTTTTGCATATAGGGTTACCGTTACCATCTTTCTAAATTCCATATATATGTGTTAGTATACTGTAATGGTCTTTATCTTTCTGGCTTACTTCACTCTGTATAATGGCCTCCAGTTTCATCCATCTCATTAGAACTGATTCAAATGAATTCTTTTTAATGGCTGAGTAATATTCCATGGTGTATATGTACCACAGCTTCCTTATCCGTTCATCTGTTGATGGGCATCTAGGTTGCTTCCATGTCCTGGCTATTATAAACAGTGCTGCGATGAACATTGGGGTGCATGTGTCTCTTTCAGATCTGGTTTCCTCGGTGTGTATGCCCAGAAGTGGGATTGCTGGGTCATATGGCATTTCTATTTCCAGTTTTTTAAGAAATCTCCACACTGTTCTCCATAGCGGCTGTACTAGTTTGCATTCCCACCAACAGTGTAAGAGGGTTCCCTTTTCTCCACACCCTCTCCAGCATTTATTGCTTGTAGACTTTTGGATAGCAGCCATCCTGACTGGTGTGTAATGGTACCTCATTGTGGTTTTGATTTGCATTTCTCTGATAATGAGTGATGTTGAGCATCTTTTCATGTGTTTGTTAGCCATCTGTATGTCTTCCTTGGAGAAATGTCTGTTTAGTTCTTTGGCCCATTTTTTGATTGGGTCATTTATTTTTCTGGAGTTGAGCTGGAGGAGTTGCTTGTATATTTTTGAGATTAATCCTCTGTCTGTTGCTTTGTTTGCTATTATTTTCTCCCAATCTGAGGGCTGTCTTTTCACCTTGCTTATAGTTTCCTTTGTTGTGCAAAAGCTTTTAAGTTTCATTAGGTCCCATTTGTTTATTTTTGCTTTTGTTTCTAATATTATGGGATGTGGGTCATAGAGGATCCTGCTGTGATTTATGTCGGAGAGCGTTTTGCCTATGTTCTCCTCTAGGAGTTTTATAGTTTCTGGTCTTATGTTTAGATCTTTAATCCATCTTGAGTTTATTTTTGTGTATGGTGTTAGAAAGTGTTCTAGTTTCATTCTTTTACAGGTGGTTGACCAGTTTTCCCAGCACCACTTGTTAAAGAGGTTGTCTTTTCTCCATTGTATATCCTTGCCTCCTTTGTCGAAGATAAGGTGACCATAGGTTTGTGGATTTATCTCTGGGCTTTCTATTCTGTTCCATTGATCTATATTTCTGTCTTTGTGCCAGTACCATACTGTCTTGATGACTGTGGCTTTGTAGTAGAGTCTGAAGTCAGGCAGGTTGATCCCTCCAGTTCCATTCTTCTTTCTCAAGATTACTTTGGCTATTCGAGGTTTTTTGTATTTCCATACAAATTGTGAAATTATTTGTTCTAGTTCTGTGAAAAATACCATTGGTAGCTTGATAGGGATTGCACTGAATCTATAGATTGCTTTGGGTAGTATAGCCATTTTGACAATATTGATTCTTCCAATCCATGAACACGGTATATTTCTCCATCTGTATGTGTCCTCTTTGATTTCTTTCATCAGTGATTTATAGTTTTCTATGTATCGGTCTTTTGTTTCTTTAGGTAGATATACTCCTAAGTATTTTATTCTTTTTGTTACAATGGTGAATGGTATTGTTTCCTTAATTTCTCTTTCTGTTTTCTCATTGTTAGTGTATAGGAATGCAAGGGATTTCTGTGTGTTAATTTTATATCCTACAACTTTACTATATTCGTTGATTAGCTCTAGTAATTTTCTGGTAGAGTCTTCAGGGTTTTCTATGTAGAGGATCATGTCATCTGCAAACAGAGAGAGTTTCACTTCTTCTTTTCCTATCTGGATTCCTTTTACTTCTTTTTCTGCCCTGACTGCTGTGGCCAACACTTCCAAAACTATGTTGAATAGTAGTGGTGAGAGTGGGCACTCTTGTCTTGTTCCTGATTTTAGGGGAAATGTGAAGCACAGATTTTTACACCACAGGAATAAATCAACTTATTTCTCATTGGCAAAATTGTGTTGATCGTTAACAGTTCCTATTTTGATTAATAAAGACGTGTTTGAATCTAATTATGATGATTTAAAATTCATGATCTGAAACCGCAATTACTTTTGCACCAACCTAAAGATACAAAACAGGAGCAGCTGCCCCTGGACGGCACAGGTACGAACTGCACGGGTCCACTTATAAGCAGTGTTCTCAATAAACATGTACTACAGAGCCATGCAAATGGAGGATATGGGGTCACGCACCCCAAGGGTGGCCTGTAAATTTACATGCACATTTCTGACTGCTGCAGGGATGGAGGCTGGTGCCTCTAATCTCTACATTGTTCAAGGGTCAACTGTATATCCATTTAAAAACAGAGACAGACCAGAAGTGAATACATGAAAAATAAAGCCCACGATTATGCAACAAGTCATCTGGTGAGAAGGAGGGGGATCATGACTGTCCTCCCTGCTTTCCAACATTCTGTTGGAGCATTAACATCACCTCTGTCATTTACGAGAGAATGAGACAGAAGGGGGCCGACACCACTCACCGGGAAAAGGACAGCCTTTTTCAACCAACAGTGCTGGGCACACCGGACATCCCCGTGAATAAAGTCAGACACTTCCCTTACACGACATAAAAAAGAACTTCAAATGGGTCAGAGACCTAAACATCAGACCTAAAACCATAAAATTCTTAGAGAGACTTCCCCTGTGGTCCAACGGTTAAGCCTCCACGGAACTCCCAAGCAGGAGGCTGGGGTTTGATGACACGCGATGGGGCAACAAAGCCCGTGCACACCTCGAGCCGGTGCTCCTCCACGAGAGAGACCCCGGGACGAGCAGCCCGGCACCGCCCCCACTCACCACAACGGAGAGCTGGCACAGCCAATAAACACATTTAACGAGGAAGACAGAGAGAGCAGGACTAACTTCAGCCCGGCTCTTTCAGCAATAAGCCCAGCTCTCTCTCACTGCACTGCACCACTCTGCTCCCATGTCCGGTCACTGTCCACAGCCTGGAACTTATGAGCTAATTCAACCCTGTCCTCTCTACAATCATCTTTCAGGTACTGACGCATGTATGGCAGTAATTCCAGTTATACAAACAATGGATGCTAAAAAAAACTACTGACGTTGGTCTTTTGTGAATGAGGAAGCAGATTTCTTCCACACGAAAATTCTCTTGGGATTCCTTGGAAATGAGTGGAGATTTCCTGAAAGCAGGTCACAGGGTGGGTCAGCCTGACAGATGCTCAGGGTCAGAGGGAAGTAAGCGTGGATCTAACACTCTAGTGGGGTCATGGGTCACAGTCTCACAAGTCCTTCACTAGTTGGAAGGATAAGATTACACAGGAAACCACCAACGACAAAGGAAATACACAGCGTTCGGCATTCTTAAAAAGTGTGACTAACATACCATACAATGACCCCTCACCAAAAGGAGTCTGGAGTATGTGACCCCAAAACAGAAAACCTGGAAAGTGATCTGTCTGAATCCACACAGCTACTAAGGAGCACAGACAGAACCAGCCTTCAGGACCGGGACCCTGGCTGCCGGGGGCAGCCGAGCTGGATTAATGATACAGGGAGGCTCACAGGGAAACCCACACACATCACCCCAAATACCATCAAGTCTCTGCTTTCACAGGTTATCAGGGTCTACTGACAGTGCAGGTATTTCATTTGTTAAATTAAGGGTGAAAAGAAAGCAATTTTTAAACTCACACCTTTATACTCAATTTCAGCGCTGACTGTCCGCTAGGAGTCAGGAATGACCCAGTGCTGCGGGAAGCCCAGGTGAGTTAAGGTCACTAGGTGTCACTTCAGCCATAGCTGTCACCATGTGACACCCAACCGCACCCCCACTTCCCGGGGCAAGAGCACTTTGAGCGGTAATGATAAAGAAACGGACGGTTTCAGTCTGGTTCTGGTGAGAACATATCCACATCACCCAAGTCCAACCCTTCCGCTCGCCCTCAGACTGAGGAAACATGACCGGCCAGGACGCCAGCCCCAGGGGGAAGGCATGAGCTCCCAAGATTTCAAGAGGCTTTGGGGGGACCAGGGGTGCGGGTGCAGACAGAAGCCTGACACGACGCCCAGCGTTTGACTTCTGCATCACCCCAAACCCACTGGAGACGTGAGCTCCAGGAAAGCACATTCTGCTTCCTCAGACGGCTTAACTTCGGGGCAATTTACACAGGGACAGGAACTGTGCTCCAGGAGAATGCAAGCAGGCTCCCCCGGTTCCTACCTCCCAGTGGCCAGCAAGCTTGGGCGGGATGTCCAAGCCCAGCTTCTCCAGCTCTCGCTGCCGGTACTTCTCATACTGCCGGTACCCGGCATACCCGCCACCTGTGGCGACCAGGATGGGCAGGGGGCGCAGCAGGGACAAGGTGCGGGCAGGGGCAGTGTGGACTTTCCTGGCATCTGCAACAAAAAACAGGAAAATGTTGAGCCAGGAGAAGGGGCAGGGTTGAGTCATGCAAACATGGCACCAACAGAAAGGCTGGGACCAGCCCTCAGCAAGCTGACCAGACCCCAGAGATCTGACAAGCAGGAGCAGCTCTGAGTCACTGCAGAGACCTAGTCAGGGACTCACACATCTTCCCCATGAAACAACAATGTACCTCGACTGCCGCCATAGCTACAGAGCTTTAAGATGAAAACATAAAATGCAAAGAGGTCAAGAAAATATCCCAGGTTGCCCTGCTGGCTACCCACAGGGCCAGACAGGGACAGGCTCTCTAATCTCACTTTTCTGACCCAGACCCAGTTCCGACTGGACAGTAGTATTCTTTCAAAGGCAAAATTGCATAAGCTCTTACAATTCAACAGTAAAAGACAAATAGTCCAATTAAAAAACACACCAAGGGCTTCCTTTGTGGCTCAGTGGTGAAGAATCTGCTTGCCAATGCAGGAGACACAGGTTTTATCCCTGCTCTGGGAAGATCCCACATGCCAGGGAGCAACTAAGCACGTCTGTCACAACTGTTGAGCCTGTGCTCCAGCGCCTGGGAAGCCAAACTACCTGCCAGCCTAGAGCCCATGCTCCACAACAAGAGACACCACCGCAGTGAGGAGCCCGTGTGCAACAGAGACCCAGCACAGCCAAAGATAAGTAAAACAATAAATAAATAAATAAAAACATACTAAGGATATGAACAGACGTTTCTCCAAAGAAGATATAGGAATGGCCAGTCAGTACATGCAAAGATGCTCAACATCCATTATGGGTTGAATTATGTCCCCCCAAACCAGGTGGCTCCATGGTAAAGAATCCACCTGCCAGTGTAGGAGCCACAAGAGACTTGAGTTCGATCCCTGGCTGGGGAAGATCCCCTGAAGAAGGAAGTGGCAACCCACTCCAGTCTTCTTGCCTGGGAAATCCCACGGACAGAGGAGCCTGTGGGCTACAGTCCATGGAGCCTCAAAGAATCAAACACAACTCGGTGACTAAGCTCGCACACACACACAGAATTCATATGCTGAGGTCCTGATCCCAGCACCTCAGACTGTCACCTTTCTTGGACAGAAGGTCTCTACGGAGGGAATCAAGTTAAAATAAGGTCCCCACAGTGGGCTCTAATAATATGACTCGTCCATAAAAAGAGAAAATCTGGAGACAGATATGCATACGGGGAGAAGGCCATCTGAAGACAAGGACAGCGAGGTGAAGGCAGCAAGTGAAGAAGACTTGCACAGTGAGAAGAGGGCTTTGGAGTTTTTTTCTTTTTCTCTGGCCATGCCGAGAGGTTCGTGAGATTTTAGTTCCTAGACAAGGGACTGAACCTGGGCCCTTAGCAGTGACAGCTTCAAGTCCTAACCACTGGACCACCAGGGAATTCCCTGTTGTTTCTTTTTGTTGTTGTTGTTTCTTTTTTTAATGAGAGAGTATGGATGTCATTAATCTCTTCCATCTTCGGATTATTCCTAAAGAACCCTTATTACTTAACAACTAAACAGTCTACCTCTGACCAGAAAAACCTGTCAGAAAGCAAGAAACATTTCTTTTCTTCTGGATTATCTGGTGAGGACAGACCTGCTGTACACAATCTCATGGCACTAAGCCAGCATCCCAGGCTGATGGGTCACGCCCTCCTCAGTGCTTTGACTACACCGGTCCTTGCTTCAGTTACAGGTCTCTTTCTCTTGCCCTCCAAAAGCTTTCCTCCTCTAACAGGAAGCCGCAAGCAGAGGCTGCCCTCCACTCCTGACTGCTCCCCGCTGTGTTTGTCACTTTAAAAAAGCACAGTTTTCCTGCAGATCTGTGACATCCTGACTTCATTTCTGAGGGTCCCCTCTATCCTTCAAGTGAGTCTTACATGTTCCCACACGCAAGTCCTAATTAAGTAACACTCAGATATGCCCCTATTTAACTACCTTAATAATAAGCCTTTTGTTTTTATTCTCACTAGCCATCTCATTTATTCCCAAGGTATGATTACTGGGCAGTCAAAAACAGCTTTTGGTACAACAGAATAAAAAGGGTATCTAGATAATAAAAACAACACACATTTTTGTACAGATTCAAACAGCTGCTTAAAAGATCCAAAAAGTTCATAACCTAGTGCTGATGTGGGTGTGGGGAACTGATGTACTCATGAGCCTTTTCTGCTCAGGACAACCCTCTCTGAAGAGCAATTTGGTCTAAATACCAAGTTATAAAATACACAAACATTTTAAGTCAGCAATTCTAAGTCACCAAATTTATCCTGAGGATGTATAAAAATATGTTATTACAGAACTGTCTGTAATAGAAGAAGAGTTCAGTTCAGTTGCTCAGCTGTGTCCGACTCTGCGACCCCATGACTACAGCACACCAGGCTTCTGTGTCCATCACCAACTCCTGGAGCTCACTCAAACTCATGTCCATCGAGTTAGTGATGCCATCCAACCATCTCATCCTCTGTCGTCCCCTTTCCCTCCTGCCTTCAATCTTTCCCAACATCAGGGTCTTTTCAAATGAGTCAGCTTGTCACATCAGGTGGCCAAAGTATTGGAATGTCAGCTTCAACATCAGTCCTTCCAATGAATTTTCAGGGTTGATTTCCTTTAGGAGGGACTGGTTGGATCTCCTTGCAGTCCAAGGGACTCTCAAGAGTCTTCTCCAGCACCACAGTTCAAAAGACTAGGAGCAGCTTAAATGTCCAATACCAAATGGTACAGTCAAGTGACGGAACACCACATATGCACCCAGTAAAAATAATCAGATAACAGCAGCTAAAGCTTCAGTGGTACCTATGTGCCAGGTACTCTAAGCACTTCACAGGCACAATTCCATCTGATTCTAATGACAGCCCTATGAAATAGGTGCTGCGTTTGTGTGGATTTACCGATGAGCAAACTGAGGCCAGCATTGTCTCTAATCACTGCTTGTGCTTAGTCGCTCAGTCGAGTCCGACTCTTGGCAACCCCACAGACTGTAGCCTGCCAGACGCCTCTGTCCATGGAATTTTTCAGGCAAGAATACTGGAGTGAGTTGCCATTTCCTTCTCCAGAGGATCTTCCCCCGCCAGGGATCTAACTCACATCTCTTGAGCCTCCTGCATTGGTAGGCAGATTCTTTACCACTGTGTCACCTGGGAAGTCCAATCTTTTGTAAGTAGAAAATTGCTACTTACTTGTGGAAAAGGTTCTGAGAGGCGGCTTCCTCAAGGACTGAAGGAAGTGGCTCAAGGCAACATCTTCACAGTGAGGACGCCTATAATCAAGCAAAAAGGAACCGTTAAACATTTTTTTAATTAAAAAAAATTAGAGGATCAACTGCCAAAATTTGAATACAATCTACAGAGTCAATAATACTATTGCATTCATTTAATCTCCCAGTTTTGACCACTGTACAGTACTGTCGTTCTGTAAGAAAATGTCCTTATAGGAAAAGGGCTCAAATATTTAGAGGTAAAGGGGCACCAAGTGTTTCAGCAGAAAATATATACATATACACACTCACAAAAAGAAAAAAGGAAGAGAAGGGAGAATGATAAAGCAGATATAGCTGACATATGGGGAATCAGAGTACCGGGTATTTGGAAATTCTCTGTACTATTTTCATAACTTTTCCGAAATCTAAAACTTTTTCACAAAAGAATTACTCTTTTCTTAAGACCATAATAAGCAGTAAAGCTGCACTTACACAAAAAGCATGTTTCTTCACCACAAAAGAACAGCTCTACACAGCCTTGTAGCCTCTAACTCCTATTAATTAAAAATTTTTTTCTTTTTGGGCTGTGCCACAAAACCTGCAGGACTGAACTTGTGCCCCCAGCAGTGGAAGCACAGAGACCTAATCTAATCACGGGACCACCAGAGAATACCCTGAATTTTTAAACTTTAAATGTTTACCCTGGGGAAAGAATGACGCAAACAAATCAGGCTAAGCTACTCTAATCTACTTTGAGTCTGGAAGGCTCAACTTGTTTGGAATTTTTAAATTATTATTTGTGGTTACTTTGCCACAAAAGCTACTTTCACAGGGTAAAAGGGTTTTCAAGCATTCTGAGAAAAAAAAAAATGACCATTTTCATGGCTTCAAGCTGTAAGGAAATAGTATTTTATTATTTGTCTCTCTTCATTTCCTCTTTACCCAGGGAAATAGGACACATCCTCAATGCAGTAAGTGACTGCGAGCAAGGAAAGCATTGATGAATTTTTAATAAACAACTGACTCTTTCCTTAATCAGCAAACACCCCAACTTCAATTCAGATAGCACTTAGTTCCCCCAAATATTGACCTGAAATCTCAAGTAAAGAAACTATGTCTTGTTAGTAAGGGTTTCTTTTTTCCCTTCGGAGTCTTTCATAAAAGTAGAAATTTACTCTATTATAAATGTCTAAACTGCTATTTTTGTGGAAAATAGAACGGCATTTATGACTTTCATACAGTAATATTTCCATTCATGGATTCTTAGTAGTTATGTCTTACATAAATATCCTGTAAATATTATCAGCGGAGAAGGCAATGGCACCCCACTCCAGTACTTTTGCCTGGAAAAATCCCATGGATGGAGGAGCCTGGTAGGCTGCGGTCCATGGGGTCGCTAAGAGTAGGACACGACTGAGCGACTTCACTTTCACTTTTCACTTTCACACATTGGAGAAGGAAATGGCAACCCACTCCAGTGTTTTTGCCTGGAGAATCCCAGGGACGGGGGAGCCTGGTGGGCTGCCGTCTATGGGGTTGCACAGAGTCGGGCGCGACTGAAGTGACTTAGCAGCAGCAGCAGCAGCAGCAGCAGCAAACATGATCAGATTTAAACACCTTCATTTACTCCTGTGAAATTTCCTTGACTTAATAACACTCTCACAGCATGGGGCTAACAGGGTGAATCTGATTCTCCTACAGGCAAGCAAGATCTGTATGCAGAACAAATCTGGGACCTTGACCATCACCACTCCCTCAGAGGCCAGATGGACGGACAGCTACTAACACAAAGGAGGGTGTGTTGCAGTAGGTCAATGTTCTTTCAGAGTGAACAATGCTCATCTCTTAGACTGGACACTCCCACTACAAAAGCAAGCGCCTAAAACTGTGCTTTCCAAGTGGAATTAGTACAAGAAGTATACATTCTGACTGAAGGCTGCATTGTCGTGTGGTGCACACTGCTGCATTGTGCAATCCAGAACTGCTGCTGAGCCCCCTAGCTGAAAGAATGCTTGCAGACTGTTGAATAAGGCTTTCCCCCGCCAGGGGTGGGGCATGGTTAGGGGAGGTACAAGAGGGAGATCATGGTGTATCCACTGTAACCCAATGCACAGCACCCAGGTAGCTGGTTTGCATTCAGATCTTCCCAAGATCAAAGTCAAGGTCTTGCCATCCACTGCTGCAGCCCTAGCTCCTGAAACAAGTGCCTGGTAAATAGCTCATTGCATCAGCTTGTCTTTCATTTCTGGATCATTCTTATTCTCATATCAATGCCACACTTTTCCTGATCTTATAGGAACACTGCCCACCCCACTGCGGGCGTGCAGAAAGAGCAATGTTCACTGCCATCACTTCCTCGCCTCCCCGTCTCTCTTAATCCCACTCAGCCAGGCTTTTGTTCCCACCACATCATCTCCTGCCAAGGTCACCTCTTCCATGCCGCCAACCCCTACTCGCATTTCTTGGGCCTCATGTTATTTGACCTCTCAGCAGCATTTGTCACAGGTGATCCCCTCCCTTTTTTTTCTCCTCTAATAGAGGTATAACTGACATGTAACATTATATTAGTTTCAGGAGTAGGATATTATTCCCTATTTGTATATATTGTGGAAGGATCCCCACAATAAATCTAGTTAAACATCCCTCACCATACATATATGCAAATTTTTCTTGTGATGAGAGATACTCTCTTAGCAACTTTCAAATACACAAGACAGTACGAGTAACTATAGTCCCCACACTGTACAGTATATGCCTGGGACTTTCGTGCTTTTTAACTGGAAGTTTGTCTCTTTCAACACCTTCATTCACTCCTTGCCCTTCTTGAAACACACACAGCCTTTGGAACCCTGATTTTCCTCCTGTCTGTCTGGTCTCCCTAACTTCAAACAGCTATCATGACCAAGGCTCAGACACCTGCTTTGTCTATGCTGTCGCCCTAGAGATGTTCACCCAGTCTGGGTTTAAACAGCCAGATGCAGAGGACTCCCCTCACTGCTACCACAGAGACCTCTAGACCGTATTTCAACCTGGCTACCCAAGATCCTCACTTTGAATCACCTCAAACTGAGTTTGTCCAAAACAGAATTCCCAACCCTCCCTCACTCCCCTTCAACGGCTCCATCCCCCAGAGCTGTCCATCTGTGGCAGAGACTAGTCAGACGGTTATTAAATCCACTTCCTCTACCCAATAGATGAGATTTCCTAGAAGTGAGTTCTAACCACTGTGAGAACCATTCAGACTTCCCAGGTCCCCTTCCGGCCTGTTACATGGAGACAAACACACAGATCTTGGGCAGCCATGTGTTACAGATGGCGAGAGACGGGCCCTCAAATCACGCTGCCCTCCCAATTAGAAGCAGCCTGAACTTACATGATGGAGACAAAAACTTCCGCTGTGTTAAGTCACCAAGATGTTAGAATTTACCTGTTACCGTAGCAAGACTGCTATAATTAATACACCATCCCAGAAAAAAGGCATCACAATTCCCCCAGTGCACAGGTTGAAACCCTAGGACTCCTTCGCAAGTCCTTTCTTTCTCACTGTCCACATTCAATCCACTGACAAGGCATGAAGCCCCCACTTTCAAAATACACCCCTATCTGCCTACGTCTCTCCCCTGGCCTGAGCCACTGGAGCTGCTGCTGGACCAGCTGCACTGGCCTGTTCTCCCTGTGTGGCCTCCATGCCCCATGTGTATCAGGACATCCAGACTGACCTTTTCAAAACAGGCCCTACGTAAGTGGTCCTCTGAACCCCAGACTTCCTGCTACTTCCCCTCTCCTCATGCATCCACCCCCACCCCTTGCACACCCACGCCTCTGCATATGCTATCTGCTCCACTGTGCACACCCCTCCAGCTGGTTTAGTCCCTCCTTACTCAATTCTCTGCTCAAATGCTTCCTCCTGACCACAAGCCCAAGAGTTCTCTCTCTGGAGTGCTAACTCCTTAATTAAATTCCTTTATTTTTCTTTGTAACAACTTCTCATTACCTGAAATGAACTGATTTTATATATATTCATTTATTTGTTTCTGTCTGTACTTGTCAACAAATACAGGGGTTTGTTTGTCTTCCCCCTGGGCCTCAATCTCAACAGTGAGATTAAGCTTCAAAGAAATGAACGACTACGTTCAATCACATGTACCTTCTGTATGGTGAACCTACGTGCACCTCCTGTAAGCAGGCAATTAAAGCCCATGATTAAGCACTCAAGTCTGACTTTGGGGCTCAGATATTCATCCCTCCACTTGTTAACTAATTCTAAGCCTCAGTTTCTCCACCTCTAAAAACTCGACCTACCTCATTAGGAGTAAATGAGACAATCACATAAAACCTTAGTCCCAGGCCCTGGCACCTAGCTCCATATTACTCTTATCAAAAGTAATGCAAGTGATATTCAGCTGGCACACACTGGGATGGCCACATCAACTGTGACCACTGTTCACCCTAACTGGTCTGTGTCCACACTGTCACAGTTTTTAAATATTTTTATGATTTATTTATTTATTTAGTATTATTTTTGACTGTGCTGGGTCTTTGCTGCGAAGCAGCCGCTTTCTCAAGCTGTGGGGAGTGGGAGCTACTCTCTAGTTGTGGTACTTGAGCTTCTAATTGCAGTGGCTTCTCTTGTTGCAGAGTTTTGGCTCCCTGGGCTCTAGAGCACAAGCTCAACAGTTATGGCACGTGAGCTTAATTGCTCCATTGCATGTGGGATCTTCCCAGAAAAGGGATCGAACCTGTGTCTCCTGCATTGGCAGGCAGATTCTTTACCACTGAGGCACCAGGGAAGCCCAGTTTTAAATATTTTTAACATCACCCCTGGTCCCTCCTGCTTTTTAGAGCTGTGAAAAGTTCTCCTGAAAATGAACTGGCAGGTTTCTCAAGGCCTTATTCCATGTTCTATCTCATATTATTTAGTCGTGTTCCCTCTCTCTTTTACTAAACTGTAAAGTTCTTTCAATGCAAGGCCTGTATCTTTTAATTCCTCTCTTTTCTCCTGCCCTCCCCCATCACCCCTGATACTGTAGTTGACAGTGGCAGGAATGTCATAAATACTCCTGAAGGAAAGTCCTGCACAACCACCCACCCCTCTAGGTACTGTGGTCATATGTGCCTGAACCAAAGAATCGCCCAGAGCATCCATAAAAAATACAGTTGCCAGGGCCCCAACCTACACCTACTGAGCCTGAATTTGGCAGCATTGTGGGGATATACCTGGGAATCTCTTTTACTAATAAACACCCACTCCATTCTTTTATCAAATTTAGGAAACATGGCCCTAAATTATCACTTATAATTACTTTTTCTATTCTCTCACCTGTCACATATCACTCAGTTACTGGAAAACTCTGCAGTATGAGGCTTTCAAATATATGTCTCACAGACACTGCTTTACTTAAAAATCATGGAAATGTTATCTTTTGGGCGTTTTTTGCATCTATCTCAATATAGTTTCCATCTGGGTATGTAACAGCTTTGAAAACTGAATTACTGTACCCAAATCCTCACCCCTCCTACCCAGTGGACCTAAATCTAGTTGTATCTACCTACACTGGTACTAAAGTTTCGACTTTTTTCCCTTTTTATTTTTTTTTTTCTTTTTTCCCTTTTTAAATGATAGTGGGTGAAGTCATTTTTTTAGTCTTTCCAATTTATGACACATTTTAGATGATTTCACGACTGACTCATAAACAGCACACCTGGTAACAACATTAAAACCACAGAGACCCTCTTGTTCAAATCCTAACAATTACCACCACACTGTGGAGCCCTCTCCTGAGAAAGTTACACCATTTCTGACTAGTTAATAATAGGAGAGTGAAGCTTTCCTGGCCAGAGCAATGACATTTTCTGTTCCCTCTCAGCCCGAAACCAGTGTCTCTACTTCCCAAAATTACAGCGCAAGCTCTAGTCCACGGTGACAAAATGAAGCCTGTCCGAAACACAAAAGTTGTGGGTCTCCCACATCTTAGCGCTTCGAAATGACATCGAGCGACAGATTCTAAGTTAAGCTACCAAGATTTTAATCCATTTTCCAAGAGTCCAAATGCTCCCATTTCTTACATAAGCTATTTCGAATAATGAATGTCCTCACGGTGGGCAGCCTGAAGGAAAGGTCCCTGCGTGAGACACAGAGGTACCTGGGAAGGAGTCTCAGCTCTGCTGATACCTGGCTGGGTGGAACTGAGCAAGTCCCTCCCTCTATCAGGGCCTCGACTTCCCCAAAAAGAAAGGGCTGGATTTATGACCTCTCTAACAATCTAACAGTTGACAGTCACCAGGGTAACCGAGACCCTATTTCCATCATGGACTATTTTGAGATTATGGAAGCCAACCCTCTCACTTCAGAGACCAAGAATCCGAAGTGAAAGCCGCCCAACTCCCACTCCAGTGCTCTTCCCACATCTCGCCGCCCCTCCCAGCAACACGACTCCCTGAGAAAGAAGCGCCCAGCCCTGCCTCGGCTCTAGTGGCGGACACGCAGCCCATTTCACCTGGTTTAGGGGGTGCTTTTTGTTTATGTTTTTGGTCCCTCGTGGAGTGGAAAGGACAAAGAGAGAGGTTTAGGCCAGACTCGGACCGTCCTAGGCGGAGGCAGTCGCACCTGCGCCCGAGCTCGAGGTGAAGGTGAGTGGCTCCGTCTCCACTCGAGCACTTCTCAGGGCGAGCCCGCGACAGAGAAACGACTCCTCTCTCTAGACCCCAGTTTGGCTCGCGCCGCCCCCCGCCCCCGAGGAGGCTCCCCAAACAGTTGTACCTGCTCCGCCACGCGACCCCGGGCAGCCACCTCAGACATCCCAGCCCCACGGACACCGCCATCTTGTCTCCTCCTTCTCGGAGGGACACGCCCCCCCCTTTTACACGAGGGGCGCACGCATGTGACGTGACGAGACGCGGAACTCTCGGGGCCAATGAAGAACGCAGAGTGTGTGTGGGCGGGGCTATGTGTCTAAGGGCCTTCCCCACCCCGTTTAGGCACCTGCTGAGCCGGGTCGGCTAGGTGAGCAAGGTGGCCGCGCCTACTGTGTTAAACCTGGACCTGGGCGCAGGGTTGCCAGTTCTCCTTCCTCCCTCTGATGTGCGTTTCCGCATGTGCCCGGAAAATCTGACTCACCCAAGGTCTGAGAATGGATCAATCGAGCTAAACCGCTCATTTTACGGGTGCGGAATCTGAAAGCGTCCACAGCTCAGCTGCCGTTGAGTAAGCACTTATGTGCCAAGCTCTGTGCTGATGACTTAGCGTGCATGATGTCTCATTCCTAACCTCCCATCGCTGTACTATCAGGGAGTCCAGAGACCAGAGGTCTTGGATCACCTAGAAATGCAGTTAGCCGTCGCACGAGGTAACTGATGTGACAACGAGTGCACCTGCAAAGTTTCTTGACCTTCAGGTTTAAGTGAAAATAGACTTAATAGTATCTGCCTTCGGCAGCTAGCTCTGAGGATTATTCTTATTTTAAAGATAGAGAAATCAGAGCTCAGGAAAGCTAACCATTAGAAGCTAAAGGGCACACTGCTATTAAAAAAAGAACAGCTAGAATTTGAACATACATCTCTGGTTCCAAAACCCACGAACTAAACATTCTTCCTTTTAAGGCCTTTGCCTAGAATCTGGCTGAATATGGGTCCCCAAACTAAAGGAATATAGCTCCTCTTTTTCCTCCCTAAGCTGCTAATTGTACTTGTCTTCACCAGCCATTTGATATTTGCCTGGTGCCTGCAATTATTGATAGTTCTATATGGTTAGTTATGCTCAACTAGGACATAACCAGGCCCTACAGGGAGCCTAACAGGCATCGGATTTCCTATTGAAGAGGAGAGATTTCCCTCTATGGTTTTCAAAAGTCTGAAGGGGGTGGGGAGTATAGAATGGGTTTTACTACTCATTGAGAATAGTAACTCAAACCTAGGGTGAAGAAAGAAGTGGGAGAGCAAGATTATTTCAAAATGAAGCACATTTGTGGAAATTGAATATTCATGGTGGCTCAGATGGTAAAGAATCTGCCTGCAGTGCTGGAGATCTGGGTTCAATCCCTTGGTCAGGAAGATCCCCTGGAGAAAGGCAATGGCTACCCACTCCAGTATTCTTGCCTGGAGAATTTCATGGAAAGAGGAGCCTGATGGGCTACAGTCCACGGGGTTGCAAAAGGTCAGACACTACTGAGCGACAAACATTTACACTTTACACCATATACAAAAATTAACTCAGAATGGATCGAAGTCCTAAAGCTAAGAACTATAACTTTATAACTCTTAAAACAAGGGAAATTTTCATGACATTGAATTCAACAGATATTACACCAAAAGCATAGGCAACAACAAAATAACATAAGTTGGATTTAATCAAAATTTAAGTTTTGTGCATCAAAGGACACTATCAATAAATTGAAAAGACAACACTGAGAATGGGAGAAAATATTTGCAAACAAACATATCTGATAAGGGTATGGTCTCCAGAATATATACAGAATTCCTAAAACTCAACAACAACAAAAAAACCAAATAATCCAGTTCAAAAATAGGCCAAGGACTTGAACAGACATTTCTCCAACGATAATATACTAAAGGCCAATAAAAGATGCTCAATGTTACTATCATTAGGGAAATGCACATCACAAGCACAATGAGATATCAACTTCGCACCAATTAAAATGACTATAATCAAAGAGAAAGGAAAATAACAAGTGTTGGCAAGGATTTTGAAAAATCAGAACACTTATGCATTGCTGGTAACAATGTAAAACGGTACAGCTGCTATGCAAAATGATTTGGTGGTTTCTCAAAAAGTTAAACACAGAATTATCATATGATCCAGCACCTGTGTGTGTGCTCACTCTGACTCTTTGCAACCCTATGGACTGTAGCCCACCAGGCTTCTCTGTCCATGGGGTTCTCCAGGCAAGAATACTGGGGTGGGTTGCCATTTCCTCCTCCAGGGGATCTTCCTGACCGAGTTCTTTACCACTAGCACACCTGGGAAGCCCCAATCAAGCACCCAGGTATAACCTAAAAGAATGGAAGCAGGGACTCAGAGATTTGTACACCAGTGTTCATAGTAACATTATTCACAATAGCCAAAACGTGGTTCAATAGATGAATAAATAAAAACGTGATATATCTATATAATAGAATATTATTCAACTATAAAAACATGTATGAAGTGACTTCCCTAGTGGTCCAGTGGTTAAAAATCCTCCTTCCAACCCAGGGGTCATGGGTTCAATCCTGGGTTAGGGAACAAGGATCCCACATGCTATTGGACAACTATTAATAAATCCACAGTCTGGGACCCCTGAGCCCCCAGGCCACAACTAGAGAGAGAATCCCGGACACCGCTCAAAAGACCTCCCATGCTGGAAAAAAGATCTGTGAGCAGCAACTAAGACCCAATATAGCCAAATAAGTAAATGTTAAAAAAAAGAAAATGTACGAAGTACTAACGCATGCTACAACAGGAATAAACCTTGAAAACATTATGGTAAGTAAAATTAGCCAGTCACAAAAGGACACATATTGTTTAATTCCACTTATATGAAGTGCTTGCTGCTGTTTAGTTGCTCAGTTGTGTCCAACTCATTTGCAACCCCATGGACTGCAGCCCACCATGCTCCTCTATCCATGGGATATTCCAGGCAAGAATACTAGAGTGGGTTGCCATTTCTTGAATGGGGGCTTCCAAGGTGGCCCTTGTGGTAAAGAATCCGCCTGCCAATTCAAGAGACCCCGGTTTGATCCCTGGGTTGGGAAGATGCCTGGAAGAGGAAATGGAACCCACTCCAGTATCCTTGCCTGAAAAGTTCCATGGGCAGAGGAGCCTGGTGGGTTACAGTCCATGGGGTTGCAAAACATCACACATCACTGAAGGGACTGAGCATGCAAGCAACAAATAATCTACTTTTTGTCGATTTCCCTATTTTGCAACTTTCATATGAATGAAATTATATAACATATGGATTTGCATAACTGGCTTCTTTCACTTAGCATATTTTCATGGTTTGTCCATGTTATAATATATACCAGTACTGCATTCATTTTTATGATTGAAGAGTATTCCATTATATAGATAGACTGCATTTCTTTATACATTCATAGTTAATCATTTCTACCTTTTAGAAAATATGAAAAATACTGCTATAAACATTCATATATGGTTTACTGTATAGACATATATTTTCATCTTTCTTCTGTATATACCTAGGAGTGGAATTTCTGGGTTGTATAGTTTAATTGGGCTTCCCCAGTGGCTCAACCGTGGCTCAGAAACAGTATGGATCTAATAGAAGCAGAAGATATTAAGAAGAGATGGCAAGAATACACAGAACTACACACAAAAGATCTTAATGACCCAGATAACCATGATGGTATGGTCACTCACTTAGAGACAGACATCCTGGAGTGTGAAGTCAAGTGGGCCTTAGAAAGCATTACTATGAACAAAGCTAGTGAAGGTGATGGAATTTCATCTGAGCTAGTTCAAATCCTAAAAGATGATGCTTTTGAAGTGCTGCACTCAATACGCCAGCAAATTTGGAAAACTCAGCAGTGGCCACAGGACTCAAAAAGGTCAGTTTTCATTCCAATCCCAAAGAAGGGCAATGCCAAAGAATGTTCAAACTACTGCACATTTCACTTATTTCACACGCTAGCAAAGTAATGCTCAAAATTCTCCAAGCCAGGCTTCAATAGTATGTGAACCGAGAACTTCCAGATGTTCAAACTGCATTTAGAAAAGGCAGAGGAACCAGAGATCAAATTGCCAACATCTGTTGGATCACAGAAAAAGCAAGAGAATTCCAGACAAACATCTACTTCTGCTTCATTGACTATGCTAAAACCTTTGACTGTGCAGATCAAAACAAACAGTGGGAAATTCTTAAAGAGATGGGAATACCAGACCACCTGACCTGCCTCCTGTGAAACCTGTATGCTGGTCAAAAAGCTGCAGTTAGAATCAGACACGGAACAACAGACTGGTTCCAAATTGTGAAAGGAGTACGTCAAGGCTGTATATTGTCACCCTGCTTATAACTTATATGCAGAGTACCTCATGCAAAAAGCCAGGCTAGATGAAGCACAAGCTGGAATCAAAACACCACCCTTATGGCAGAAAGCCAAGAGGAACCAAAGAGCCTCTTGATGAAGGTGAAAAAGAGAGTGAGAAGCTGGCTTAAAACTCAACATTCAAAAAACAAAGATCATGGCATCTGGTCCCATCATTTCATGGAAAATAGATGGGGAAACAATGGAAACAGTGACAGACTTTATTTTCTTGGGCTCAAAAAATCACTGCAGATAGTGACTGCAGCCATGAAATTAAGACACTTACTCCTTGGAGAAAAGCTATGACAAACACTGACAGCATATTAAAAAGCAGAGACATCACTTTGCCAACAAAAGTCCGTCTAGTCAAAGCTGTGCTTATTCCAGTAGTCATGTATGGATGTGAGAGTTGGACCATACAAAAGGCTGAATGCTGAAGAATTGATGCGTTTGCATTGTGGTGTTGGACTGCAAGGAGACCAAACCAGTCAATCCTAAAGGAAATCAACCCTGAATAATGAATATTAGTAGGACCGATGCTGAAGGTGAAGCTTCAATACTTTGGCCACGTGATGCGAAGAGCCAACTGATTAAAGAAGACCCTGATGCTGGGAAAGATCGAAGGCAGGAGAAGGGGGCAACAGAGGATAAGATGGTTGGATGTACATGAGTTTGACCAAGCTCCTGGAGATGGTGAAGGACAGGGAAGCCTGGTGTGTTGCAGTCCATGGGGTCGCAAAGAGTTGGACACGACTGTCAGAGAGTGTTCTGCTTATGTT